CCATAAAATTATAAATAAAAAAAAGACATTTAATATGCTAGCATTAAATAGAGTCTAGGGACTAAAATCAATTTTTAATCTTGTATATGATATTTTTCTAAACTTCATCTTATTTAAGGATTAAAATCTAGTTTTCTAATATTTTTATTTGATTAGCTATGGACTGTACATTTCACGGCGTATTTAATTAACAGATACTACAAGCATATGATCCTGTCACCAGAACAAGTATACCCTCGTGATCTAAAACTTGTTTAGAATATGATTAAGCTTGTACTTAACAATAAAATTGGCATGTTAATGGGGTTTTGTTTAAGAAGAAAGTTATTATTTGGCCTTCACCTTTAAGGAATAATAACTACAGGAAACTTCATAAAGATATAGAAGAATGCACAGGGTATAACAATAAAAAAGTTCCCCTCTGTTCCCCCCTGTCACTTTTTTATTTTGTAAAAGCGTTAAAGTGTTTCGTTACCAAAAACAACAAATACAAGAGGTGTTAAATGGGTACATATACTCTAGTAAGCAATTTCATGATCTAAGATGATTCGCACAGATCACCAATGATTTTAAACCCCTACACGTTTACCACAAGAAACCACTAGAACTAAGAGAGTCTCGGAGCAAATTTGTCCCAAAAGGCAATAAACACGACAAACCTACTGACAAGACCCTCACAAAGACCATCGCAAAGGGAGTAAGATTCTCTCATCTTTTTTTTCCTTTCCTTCCCTCCTCTCATATTTGAACGGTCATGATTAAGTCACGTCAACATCTTATATTAATTTTTTATAAAAAGAGAAAGACAAAATAAAGAATATGAAAAGAGAGGATGAAATGGATGAAAAAAAGAAGGAAGAGAATCCTAATTCATCACAAATAGCGTGTTCACCACAGATTGCCTAACCGAGGCAAACCCGAACTAGTGGTACAAGGGCGAAACATAAAAACTAAGCTAAAGTCGATTACGTGTTTGTGGACGAGACCATGGGTCTTGTTTGCGTGGGTAGCAGCAGGGGAACGTGGGTTGCCAATTTTAACAAAGACAACGCACAAGAAGTGGTGGGTCGCAAATTTAATTTAGTTTTAATAATCAAAGGTTTGTTTCCGTCTTTTTTTTTTGGCTGGTTTTATAAATCCCTTTAGTATCTGTGAGAGTATGTGAGTTGCAGATAAAGATGAATGACAACAATCTTGTGATCATAGCAATCAAATAGTTTGCACAGTGCACAGAAGTTTCTATTTTTGTAGCAGAGTATGCAAGCTGTCTAGCATTTTGGTATCCAAGATTCTTACTTAGAAAAGCCAGAGTTTGGCGTCCTCCACCGACTTATACTATATTATTAAGCACAGGAGCCCTTTATTCCATGCAGCTGCATCTCAGGTCATTAAAATGGTAATGGCTTCTTTGCAAGCTGTAATCACTTTGGTTGATGAAGTTGACACAATCTTAACTCTTTATATAGAGAGAATGATGCTTGATTTTCAAAGTGCCAAATTGTTTGATTATCGATGTTGATTGTTAAGTTATTACATTGTCGACACGTTGGTTAATTCTTGATTAATTAAGCAAACAAAATAGTGGATTTGGCAAATATATGAATGCGCAGCACACAAGTTAGGCAGGATACGCTAGAAATTTACGACTACTTGTTTGTTAGACTAACCCTAGAGAGTAGAAATAGAACAGAGTTCTCTTATATTTTCTGAGTATCTTGATTCTTTCATTCGCTTCAACAATTTTTGTTTCAGTCGAGTATTTTTACACTATGTTTGGATGAAGAAATTTAAGATTATTAAGGAATTTTAAAATGACGGAAATTGAAATGACGAGATTTTATTTTCTAGAATTTTTGAATTTTCTTGTTTGGTTAACCTAATAGAACAATAGAGGTTAACCTAATAGAACAATGAAATTGAATACATAATTTGTTATTTTAAACTCTCAATCATAGAAATTGGGAAATGACACCTATTTACATGGAATTGGAGATCTCAAATTCTAAGGTTTTTTTTCCACGCGGAAATTCTAAATTTATATGTTTATAAATCCAAACAAAGGAATTTGTGCATTATATATAGGATTAGGATCCAGTGATACATTATTTTGACACACATTTTGTGGGACCTACTTCGTAGTTAATGTAACGCTCCTGCCCCAAAATTTTTATTTTCGGGGAATATTATTGGTGATAGGTCCAAACTAAACTCTTGGTTAGTTAACTATCATTAAACCCGATTCTCTACTTCACTTTCCTATCCCTCACATTAAATTCATGACCAACTTTTAATTTTCAATCCTTAAGGTTAATACTCAAATTATTTACCAAATTCCTTTTCTTAGTACCAATTTTCAACAAAGGATTTATCTCAATGATTTAACTACCACCTATCGTAATTCTTTAATTATCTGTCTTGTTTACAACCATGCATGATTCATAATTAAAAATTTAAGCACCAAATGTACAAATTTATTCTACTTTGTCACTATTTCCTTTTATAAAACACTTCCCGTTCTAAAAATTATTTCTCAAGTTATTTAAGGTTGCATCTAACACTGTTAGACTGCCTACGTACCCTTGAGCGGGATCAAGCCTTTCGTAGTTCACATTTCCAAAATTCAAACCAAATCCAAAAATATTCATTTAGTCCCACATATACCACAATCGTATTAATATTCAAACCACAACAGTTAGATCTCCAAAGCATAATTAGAATAGCGAAATTCGCATAAAAACACAATGTCGGCTCCCTGGCCGTGCCCCGCCGCACGCGCCGCCATGGGTGGCGGTCGGCCGCCCCGACTCGCCGGAAAATTTAATTATTTCTAACAATTCTCAAAAATTATAGAAATGGAGATCTCGAAGAGTAGAGCAAACTTTATACCTGTGGCCAAGTCCAATTTGGCCTGGAAAGGCTCCAATTTGCCTCGAAACCGTCGGAACCCTATAAATGGGTGGCCTCGAATTGTCACCTCCGGTGCCCCGCCACCCCTACCATTGTTTGGGCTTTGTTGCAGCCATCTAGGGAAGGGTTTTGGTGGAGGTAATTGTAAGAAATCATTTCACAATTGATGGATTTTGGGCAAGGTCTCCCGCTGCACCCATCACTATTTTTGTACCAAAATACCATCAAATTCCCTCTAATTTTTGGTGGAACTAGGATAGAGAGGGCCAAGGTGATGATTGGGAGCGGTTTATAGGTCCAATTTGTCAAAAAATTGGACGAGAAACGGCAAGGAGCCGTCGGTTGAGGAGACGAGTCGCACGGGTTTTGGGCCAAGATCCGTGATCTTGTGCACCCTCCTCCCCTCCTTTTTCCTCCCAGCCTCCTCTTCCCCTTTCCCCTTTTCCTCCTTTCTAACCTTTCCTTTTCATCCCCGTCATCCATCCCATTTTTTTTTCTTATTTTCTTTTCACCTTAAGCCACACAGGTGGCACACCTCAGACTCCAGATTTTCTGAAGGATTCTAGTTAAGTGCAAAATTACAAAAATATCTCTAACTTTAAACGTTAATAACTTTTTCGTTATAACTCTATTTCACAAACGGTTTTCGTCCACATATTAATAATTATGAACATCTAATTCATATATTTAAATTTTCAGGGTATTACAATTAATTTCAACAATCCAAGTCTATCTTTTATATCTTACGTCAAAGATTACGTCTACCAAAAATCACCGAAACCGAAGCCATATGACCATTGTGTTATATTTATTGTTTATTTGCAGAACTGTGTTCGTCTATTTTTTTCTACTACGAATGAATGTCGATAGTCTATGAATGATGTACTAAAATATAAATGGTTCAGATGGTTGAAATATGTTACGAAGCGAACTCTACAAGACTATAAAATATGTGTCAAAAGCTCTGTGTATATATATGTAAAGATAAATTACAAGGAGAAGCCCCTAGGGCTAACACCAGCTAATGTGCTAATGATTTGCTTTGTTACAACTTTTCTTGGTTAAGTGACAACTTTTCTCGTTCATCACAGCCATAGCCCTTTTTTGATATAAATAGTGGGGTTTCTTAGTTTGACAAAATCTTGTAAGTAGTCAGTTTTGTTTATTAGTATCTTATTTTTGATAAACAATATGATCTACACTAGGAGGTGGGGAGTTGACTAAGCCTCAATGGACTAGCAATAATTTGGTTCAAATTCACTTTTGTCGAGAATCGAACCTGAAGCCTCTCACTTACTAGTGAAGAGGAATACCACTAGACCGTAGTACTAAGTGACTTGTTTATTGGTATTTTGAATAAGTGGAATTAATTTGATCTCATGCCTCATTTCATCTCCACTATTAGATTGAAAGGGATAACTTATTATAGTGAGCGCATGTTAAAGAAAGAAACGAAAAAATATATATCTAATTTGAAAGTTGAAGATGAATTATGAAAGAAAAAAATTCATTCTAATTCTCATCCAATACCCTTTGAAATGAAAAATCATCCATCTACCTTCAATATGTCCTCTAAATTAATGGATTATCCATTTCAGTTCAATCCTATGGAGCTTTGTTGATAGATTAAGTTGGAGCAATCAAATGAAAAAAAAAGTCTTTGGTCCCGAAATAAAAGGTTAGGTTTGGGTGAAATGATTTTGTATAAGATTGTAAGAGTGAGGTGGTCCGCGCATGAGGATGCCAGAACTTATCCTTAAAGGAAAGTGTTATTCATACACTAGTTTTCATCTTGCACACACTCTTATTAATTTTTTGCTATTGATTTTCTTCAATTTATTCGATTCGGCATTCGAAAATTGAGAAGGGTGTGTAAGAAGTAAAAATAAGTATGTGGATAGCACTATCATATAAAAATAATAATAATAATAAAAAAAAACCCTAAGTCACAAAAGTCATTTGGGCTGCGTGGGCTCTTACTAAAACCCAACCACCAAATCAACAGACAGTTCAGCCCATTGGGTTGACCCAACTATAGTTGGGCTATCGAACCCCAATCTCACTAATTATTATTACTTTTTTGTTAAACCAAATCGAAGAGGGTCAGAAAACAGAGCCGGTTCAAGATCCGGAGAGCATCTTTGGTTCTTCCATTCGCCAGAAATTTTGGCTGCGTCAATCCAGGTACTATATGCCTAATTGAATTGTTCATATCTGCTAATTATTTGATTTGTTTTTCTTTTGTCGAAATTTACTTGATTTGTTAACTAATTGCCTACTTTGCTCGTTCATCCGGCTATTATATGTATATATAATTTGGAGTTTCTTCTTTTATTTTGATTTGAACTATTCGAAATTATTTACCTTTACCTGATTTTTGAATTGGGTTTTCGACCAATTTGTAGAAAGCACTCTCTCTTTTGCTTTATTGGAATTTGATTTTTCTGAAATTTATTTCCCCGAATTGGTCAGAAACTTATGGGATTTACTGAAATTACCCAATTATCTGTTGTTTTTGTTTTAGTGTAGTTGGTAATGCTTTGTGAGCTTATGGTATATTGAAAATATGGGTAATGTTTGAATTTTGTTGGTAATTTTGTATTTGTTAGAGTTATGTTTGTTGCTAGGGAAAGGCAAGATCAGATCAGAAAGTTCGATTTGTATAGAATAGAATCTTAAAAATCTTCATTGCCTGAACTTATTGAGATAAATTTTAGTTTCTGCTCTTACCGGTTCAATCTAAGTGTTGCAATCCAACTTTAAGTAAGAAGAAAGAGCTTTACCTTTTAATGTTTATATATATAGACAAACGGCTATTGTTAAGAGATCTTTTTGGTTACAATTGTAGGTCAACACGCTGAATTGGTGTTTTGTGCTTTCTTTCGTTATGCAGTTTTGATGTTAGAATCTTTCAAATAAGTTCACCCAGCGCCTTGAAATTGTATGTTAACATTTTTGTTGGTTCATGATTGCTTAGGTAACATCATGGCCTACCGGTATAATGGTAGACAGGAAATAGGCACCCGAGGCAACCCGCAACATCAGAAAGAGCAGGTAACTAATTATTCTAGGATCTTTATTTGTATATATGTTGGATCCTAGCTCCTTTACTTTGGAACTCTAAAGTGGTTTCTGAGTTTTAAGGTTCTTGATAGTTATATGCGGTTCCTCATAAATGTCATTGTATTAATTTTAGTTTACTTTAATGCTACATGCCAATTTTGCATTGATATTATCATTTGTTTGCCAATGAGTCTGTATGTTTGTAATTTCCACTTTATTATGGTGTATGATTAGACCTTTATGGTACAGGCATATCAGGGTTCACTAGTTGATGATCTAGCAGACGAATTTCGATTGCCGATTAATCAAAGGCCCACAGAAAATGTTGATCTGGAGAATGTGGAACAAGCATCATTGGACACACACATAGCATCATCTAATGTTGGTTTTAGGCTTCTCCAAAAGATGGGGTGGAAAGGGAAGGGGCTTGGGAAGGATGAGCAAGGTTTGTTACTAGTGAAATATTTATGATTGTTTAATACTCATGTTCTGTGGTAGCTATTAATTATCTGTAGAGTAAGTGGCCACCTCTTTTAATTTTAATCAATAAATTCTTTGACAACTTGTTTCAGTGCCTTCAAGTTATATGACACTACATTTTTTAAATTTATTTTCATTTATTTTTACGTTATTTATTCTTTGTTGGTGCGTTCCATGTGCAGGAATTACTGAGCCAATAAAATCTGGGATTAGAGACCCAAAATTAGGAGTTGGAAAACAAGAGGAAGATGATTATTATACAGCAGAAGAAAATATCCAGAGAAGAAAACTCGATGTGGAATTAGAAGAGACCGAGGAAATTGCAAAGAAGCGGGAGGTATGTCTTTGATCTTAGTTGCTATAAGTGTTAAGTTATAGATAGTATTGAGGTTGATGCTTTACTTTTTCTGAAACCTAAACTTAATAGCAGAAGGCAGCATATAGCATATATGCGTGTCTTTTGACGGGAATAGGACCATCAACTTTCGAAGGTCTTGAGAATTTCCTGCAGTTTTTATTACCTGGTGGCTTCTACTGCCTGCTTCGTGCCCATTATGAAAATCCAGGTATTAGCAGAACGTGAGCAGAAAATCCAAATCGAGGTGAAAGAAATACGCAAGGTGTTCTACTGTGAACTCTGCAGCAAACAATACAAGTTGGCCGTGGAATTTGAAGCTCACTTAAGCTCATATGATCACAATCACAGAAAGGTAAATGACTGTTAATCTACATTTCTTTGACTTAATTGTGTTTGTGGGGGGTGTTTTCCAATATGGTCTGAATTCGTGAAAACCCTTAAATGAGTGTTGCAGCGTTTTAAAGAAATGAAAGAAATGCATGGTTCCAGTAGTCGGGATGACCGCCAAAAACGAGAGCAACAGCGTCAGGAGAAGGAAATGGCAAAGTTTGTTCAGATGTATACACTTATTTTCCCTTCCCTGATTCATACATTATTCATTTGCTATCTGTATCCTTATAACCTTACTTTTGTAACATGTCTTTCTCTGTCTTCTTCAATTCCATGCAGTGCGGATGCTCGTAAGCAGCAGCAGCAGCAGCAGTTACAACAGCAACAAGAAGAATCTGGGCCTGCCCCAGTTTCCACTGAACTGAAAAGTGCTACTACACTTGCAGATCAGGATCAACGGAAGGCTTTGAAATTTGGGTTTTCTTCTAAAGGTGCAACCTCTAAGTCTAAGGTACGCGCATTGATTCTAATGTCATGTTAAAGATGAGTTTAATTAAAGCGGAAGGTGATTTATGGTGGTGCATATGGCATACAACTTTTTTACGTGTGCAAATATTTATCTATGAAGCATGGATGTGTAGACTGAGAAATCTTGTGTTTCGTGTTCTCTAATGACATGCTGATTATCTTTGTTCTCTCTGTCGAAGTATATCTGGTTTCTCTACCTGATACCTTTTCTTACTTAATTATTTCAAATATGTATAATATTATGCTTGACATATCTTTTGTTTGCTTTCATTGCTTGGCTCCAAAACTTAAAACTTTTACCGCCGCCATCAACACTTTTCTGTCTAATCTTTTAGACCGGGAACTCTGCATGTTGCACTCTGAACTTTGACAAAATAATTACATTGTCCCCATTTTATCTGATGGCAATTTGATTCTAGCCTTTGTTATCAAGGCAATCAGCTCTAGTTGATAAAAATTATGTCCTCTTAACGTATTGGTACTATTCTCCCATTTTACAGATCTCGTTTGGTAGTGCTGCAAAGAAGCCAAAAGTCGGTGTGGCCTCAGTATTCGGCAATGATAGCGATGAAGAGTAGTGCGACAGTACTGGCCATCAGCTCTGTACCTTATCAAGCTTACATTGCCTCCTTATGTAGTTTTATGTGACCTACGACACCAGTTATACGCATTTGTGTTGCATGAGATGTAAGATCATTTTTATAGTTTTACCAATCGGAGTTATAAACATCGATGCACATGAACAATTGGTTTTGTAACGAACTATTGTTTGTGAAGACATAAGTTGGCTCCTCTTGTTTAAAATTAGGGAGTTTTAACGAAGCACTTTTGGTACTGTTCATTTTTTAACGAAAAACCATATTTTATCTTTTTTCTGGTACTATTTATTACACCTTTATTTGTTTTCTTTCATTAAAATTAAAGTTTTTTTGAACTTTTCATTAGTTTTCTTTTAAAATTATGCAGAGGCAAATATATCAAATCAAAGCGCAAATATATCGAATCAAAGTGAAAAAAAGCAATTCATGATACAATACATACATAAGTTAATAAAGCATCGGAGTCGGAATACATGGTAAGATGCACAGAATCAGAATGGTACGGCTGTTAAGCAGCTTCGGCAAACATAACTCGAATGTTACCAAAGTCGAACACCGTGTGGTACGGTCCCATGAGTACGTCTCCGAGAATCCTGCAGGCACAAAGTCGAACACCGTGTGGCACCATATATTTTTACATTAAGGAAATTAAGAGTTCGGTTAAGCCACACAATGAACAACCTAATTTGGTATTGAATTCGTCATCTACAGAATTCGAACCTAAGACTTCACTTACAAGTGAAGATAAATACCATCAGACCATAATATTGAGTGACACCTAGTCCGGAGTTATGTTGTAGAGTTAAACCAATAATTTGTTCTTGGAAAACAGCCCCGGTTCGTGATTATGTTACTGATGCAAGAAAGCATCAACTACAAGAGGAAAATCTGTAGGATTGTCAAAATCTAACCTGGTCCGGAGTGAGAAAGAAAGGTTTATCTCCGATGGTGAAGGTAACGTTTGGCATGCTCGAAAGGCTATTGCAGTTGACTATCGATTCTCCTGCTGGACTAGGGAGGCTCTGACAGAGCTGTTAAAATTGACACAAAAATGGGAGGACGTAGATGGATTAAGTACACTGTCACAGTGGGTGTCTTGGTTTAATAACAAAATGTTATGTGGAGTGAAGCTAATGCATGATATTGTATTATTAGATCAGAACACTCGTGGTAGTGTACGCAGTACATCTTAGTTGCTCTTCAGAAATGATGAACTATGAAATTGACGTATCAAATAATATTTAATCATTTCTAAACTATATCTTATAACATAAGCGGTATACTTAGACCATGTATCTAAACGTAACGAAATTGTCTAAAACATCGTACTCTGTTATTTGCACTCAAGTTCAAACTTTTTTTCTTTCCGAAATTGAATCATAATATCCCCGTTAAAAAAGGAAAAAGAAAAGAACACTCACCCCCCCGGCCTAAGCCACTTCAAGCTGAGCCCATTTCCCAGCACGCAGCCCTCCTCTTCAGTACTTCCTTTTTTTTGGGTTTTTCGTCTCTCACATCGAGTACCGGACTGAGAGTCCCCAGTCCCCCACTTTGTCGATCAATCTTCACCCTTGTCTTCCTCCCAAAGGTCCACAAAGGTAATTCCCTACACCACCTTCGCTGTAATGCCATCGGATTTGTGTTGTGTTAGTGTTATACAAGCTTTTTCTCAAACTGCCCGGTGGGGAAATACGCACAGAAGGTGTTCGACAAATTGCCGCAATGAGATAATTTTTCAATTAAAGCGTACATTTGTTATATAGATTTAAATTTTCAGATTATACTTAATTGGGTTAAACCCTTTTGTGCTTGTGACTAATGGGTATGTATAAAGTTAGAAGCTTTGTGCAATATACAAGTGGTCGAAGCAAGATGGTATTTGTTATGGTTGTATTTGATTTGGCCCTTTAGCTTACCTTAATTTGTTTTCGAATTAGGCTGTTACAATTTTCAGTGGGTTAAGCCCAATAGCATTACTAGGTGTGAGAAAGAAGCTCTGAATTGTAGCAGAAAGTTGTGGAACCGATGGCGTTGAGGCAGGTTTTAGGGTTCTCGGATGGCGAGTTGATGAGGTCGGATTGCAAACCTTGTTCCAGATTGATGAGACAGACTGCCGGTATTTTCACTGTTGGCGGATCATTGGGATTCTGGATCCTTTGCAGATTGCATTACGGTTTGTTCTATCAACATGCTTTCTCTGTTCAACGCAATGTTATGTGCTTATCATAATAATCCGATGCTAAGTTTAGGCCTTAGACAAACTTGCTTTTTCGGATGGTTTTGTTTTTCCATGTTGAATACCTCGTTGTAGCTGTAAATACTATCCATTCTATTGTATTTACACAAAGTCAGGGCTTGTATGTTGTTGTTTCTGTGATTTGCAGGTCCGAGAATTACAGTTCCGAGGAGTCTTCGGTGGGCAGCTTGTGGAGCGGTATCTGTGAGCTCATCCACTGCTTTGCTGGTTCGGTTGTTTAGTCCAGAGTGCGAGCCCCAAAACATAGCTACTTATGACAAGGGAAAGTAGCACTAGATTCGTGAAGGTTGTATCGTCGTTCTAAGTAAGTTATGTCGGTTTTGTTAATCGTTACAGAGGAGTGATTTTATGATGGATATTTCGATTGATGTAAGATATGCCTTGAAATGGACGTAACATTTCGAGTATCGAAGTAACAGGACTAAAAATCCTGCTTTTGTTGCATAAGAGTTTATTGTCTTTCTTGCACGATGCGTCTAAGGAGCAATTTCTCTTAGCAGGAGCCCTTGAATCTCCTGAATTTCGGACCTTGTTCCATTTTGCTCTGAACTTTCAATTTGATTTTGAGCATCCTAAACTTTCAATTTATGCAAATATTCCGCCAATGGTCAAGTCTTTCACAATTTTTGTCATTTCATCCTGTACATTATGCCTGGCCAACTTTTATGAGACATATACAATAACAACGACAAAGCCTTATTCTACTAGGTAGGGTCAGCTATATAAATCTTAAAATGCCACTGCACTCGGTTTTGTGCTATGTCAGCGAAATGGTATATCGCAAAAAAATTATTAATACTTAAATGCATACCATAGACCACACCTCCAATTCAACTTCTCTAGCAACACAGACCGTAAAATTCATTGCCCAGCCCCACCAAATTCATCTTCCATTTCCGGCTTGCACAAACTCTCTCTCCCTCTCGACCCTCCACCACCCATTCCTTTATCAGTTAGTCGTCGACCACCTCTCTCTCTTCGTTTTAGCCGTCGACGTACAGTTCCGTCAGTTCTTAACCAATTCTCTCGATTCGACCGTTAATGTCTGTCTCTCTCTGCTCTCCATATCTATTTGCAACTCACTCACTCTCTTTCATGATTTAGGATTTTTTATTTTCAATCTGGGGAAAATTTTAGGGTTTTTTTTTATTTTTGGTGGGGATGAATTTCAGAATTGAGGAATGATTTTCGAATTTGGCCTAAGCGATTTTGGTTTTCCAAACCTAAAATCTGCTTTTTTGGATTACCGATTTTTGGTAAACCAAGGGATTTTGGTAAACCAAAATTTTCGGTTCGAGATTGGTTTAACTTTTCTTATTCCAATATTTTAGTTCAATTTTCAGGAATCATTTTTTAGTTCAATTACCGAACTGAAACCATCCCTAGATTCTGTAGTACTAAATTGCTCCAAATTGATTTTTGTTTTTAGCTAAACACAAAATTAAGCCAGGGTTTTTGTTTTTTTTTTTTTTTTGGTAAAAAAATAAACAACTGGTTGCAAGTCACGGTTATTCACTCATTCCGGGACCGAGAAGACTAAGCCAGGGTTCAGCAATTGGGCCTTTTGAGTGTCCAAAACTTCTAGCCCAAAGCGCACGCAGCAGATTAGGATTGCTTCCATCCCAAGATAGAAACTAGCCGTACAGTGTCGCTCACGCTCTCTGCGTTGTAATAACATGCAAACAAAACCAAAGAATCCACAAAATCCCACCTTTCAAGCTTCAATCATGCTCTCAGAATCGTAGAAATGGCAAGCGGCAAGTCAGTGGTGGCGCTGATCAAGGCCCTGAAGCCGGCATTCCGCTCCAGCAACGACAACGACAAGGTCGCCCTCGCCATCCACGCCTACTTCTTGGCCTCCGGCTACGACCTCACCGCCACTGGTCCCCACGCCTTTTCCCCTGCCGCCCTCAACTCTTCTTCCACGGGTGCGTACATACATACTCAACCCCATCAAAGTTCTCTTCTTCCCAAAAATTAATGGATTAAAAAAAAAAAAATTGATTCTTGGATTTGTTGTGTTGGGTTTGTAGATGAAGTGGGTATTGAGGGATGGAACGAGCTCGAAGACCAGTACGCATTCGTGTACGTGAACCTGGAAGAGGGTTCGAAGAAGGTCCGGGTCAAGTGCCTTGTGATGGAGGATAAACTGCATGTGTTTTGAGCTCTGGCTGATGGGTCTTCTAAGCATGTCGAACTAGAGTAAGTTTTTGTGCAACTGGGTTATTATCTGTCATCAATTCTTGCTTGTTAATGGCGTTTGGGTGTTGAATTTTGTTCATTTGCAGCGTTGGGAATTATGTAGAGGAAACTGGTGGCGGAAATTACTCTAGACAGTTCAAGAATATGGAGATGCTGGTGAAAATTCTCGACTCTTTGCACCCTTTGAGGTAAATCAGGTTTCTTGGGTTGCAATTGCATTTGGTTATGTTTGTGAAGTTTTTGTGGATTCTTTTTGTTACCATGACACAAAATTATGCGTACAAATTGGGCCGTGTTGCTTAGTGTGGGTTTTTTTTTCGCGGCGTTTTTCTTGTGCAGTTCAGAAATAAGTGAGAGTCGCTGTGAGACGAGCATCAGAACTGAGCCTGCTCCTCAGACATATCTTTCAGGGTCTGATCTCTTTCCCTCTCTCAGTTTCATTTACGATCGATTAACAAATGCAACCCAATCATGTGAAAAAATATTGTATAAACTGCAGTTTGTATGTAATACTAGTTCAATTTCAGTCGCCTGAGATGTTTATTAGTTAGGTGTGTGTGTATATTATATCCATAAATGTGAATCTAGGATGTTATCATTGAGAGTCCTTTTGGTTAACGCCTGCTCGGTTAAAAGTTTAAATGCATCGCCAACGAAGAAAATGAAAAATGCAGGTCTGCCAAAGAACAAAACAGGCCTACAAGCCCTAGTACAAAACAGCTGGATCCTTGCACTTCCATATGTACTACTTAGTTTGTTTATATCGTTCTACAGTTGCAAAAGAAAGCAGCTCGATACGCTCTGGGAGGAGAACAAAATTCCTGTTAACGCCACCTACATTGCCAGTGCCGGTTCTGTCAAAGTACTACTTTTATCATCTTTTCTACAATATCCATTTTATAATTCATCGTTGCAGCAATCCATTTGGTTTCATCAAAAGTTTCCGAAAAGAAGAGCGTAATCTCACACAATGATCTTGCAAATTAATGTGTCAGGTTGGAAAACTTGAAGAGGAGAAAGTTTCTGTGCGGAATGTGTATAGCACAAGGCGAGTGAAGCAGAAGATAGGCTCGGGATCTGATGAAGCAGTTGGTCTCGGCATCTTGCTTGAAGATCAAGCAATACATGACAAGAGTAAGCATATACAAATCATTTGTCCCCAAGAAGTTCATAACCTTATTTTAAAGCAAAACTAATGAAAAAGGCTTGAAAACTTTGAGTTTTAACGATAAGGACAAATTAAAGGGTATACTGAATAGTACCAAGATTGACTTTTTAGTGTAAAAATGTGGTTTTTCGTTAAAGTGAACAGCACCGGGAGTTTTTTTGTTAAAGTTTCCTTTTTTTAATGATTCCAAATTCAATTTTTGTGGTTGCATTTCATCAAACTTCTTTGAATTTGATATTTGTTGACGCAGAACCTCAGGATTTCCCTAAAACTGCTGCAAACATCCCCATCCCCAAGTCCCAGCCCACCCCAGCTTCTCAGTCTGATTCTGTCCCTGTAACACAAGAGTTCCATCTTTTAACGGATCAGATTCTACCAACACCGGTTAAGAAAATAAGTCCGCGCCATCTGCAAGATGGAGAAGTGTACCAAGGTGAGGCTTAGAACTTCTCTTGTGCTTGGTCCCGTTTGATAACCATTTCGATTTCTGTTTAGTAATGCGTCGGTATATTTGGTTTCTTTTCTGAATGGATTCTTTGTGTGGTGAAGGGAGGCTGCGAGGCTACGATAGAAAATAATGAAGGAAGCTTGCACAAAAGTTGGCATCAAAGGGACAGGTTTAAAGCAAGGAGTTAGAAGTCCATATGAATTGTTACTAACACTACTCTTAGCTTAATATGCATTCAGAAATAAATAGTTGGAATCTTCTTCACACTGTAAAATAATTGATTTGAAACCGTAATTCGATTGAAACACGATGCAAGTTTCATTTAAATTCTATGATGCTATACTTTTAAACTTTGTAACAGTTAGATCTTGACTTTTATGTTTTTGACTAAAGATCTGACGGTGAAAAAACTCTCTGGAATATCGGATACGAGCAACATAGAAAATCCCCACTAGCGTTTCTAAACACGGAAATGAAACTCTTCTGTTTTCATCTTCTATAGGAGTAGACATTGGAGTTTGATTCTTAAAGTCCTTAGTCGTTCTACAAGAACCACTTCTGCTTATTAGCACTTTTGTTAGAAGAATGATTTTTTTTGTTAGAAATTCAACAGCATCATGAAGCAAGTACTGAGACTTTGTTTCGTATAGAGAATTGATTGAAATTGATATCCCTCTAAATTCAAAGCATGTTTGAAGGATGAAGGTATATTATTTTTTATAGAGAATTATTTTTTATTTTGATAGGATTAGAAGAGAATTATAAGTGAAAAAACTTCTCCTTCTAATCCTACCATTCCAAAGAGAATTGTAATATATTCTAGAGTATTAGATCTTCTATCTTCAAATTTAATCTTAATTTTTTTCATTTCGAACCTATCATTTATACCAAATGATATCATAGTCTCCTCGTGATAAGATACTTGAATTAAAAAATTAATAACGTAAAAAAAAAACTTTCCCTATTTATATAATAATATGTATTATAACACATGTATTCGGAGCACAATATACCAAAAGAACTCAACTCAAGTAGAAATAAGAGACCTCGACACTTGTACGGACTGCACGCGGGCATAAATTTAAGCCCACATAATTTTTACTTTGGGTCAGTAGCCTATAGTAAGTCAGATGGTAATAATTTGCCACGTGGCACACATCGCTGTTGTTGGTTCCACCACCCCATAAATAAACTGACAGTTTTGAAAGAGATCTGGGACGCAACTCGAACGGAATGCAACCCAATTTACTTGTCCCACTTTGTGGAGAGATATTTTAATGTGATCGGAATACGGGATGATACATCATATGTTATTATACAAATTATAAGATATGTGTGGTAGAAAGTTAATAACTTAAAAATATAATTTTCCATCACTTATATAAAAACATATAATGTATCATACGTGTTTCGGTCAAAATAAAAAATTTCTCCACTTTGAGATGCAGATCCCCCACTATAATGTAAAACCGAATAAGGACATTCTCGTTTCATGTCTCTCTTACTTGTCCCACCTTGTATCTACATTCGAATATATGAGAAACACTTAAGTAGGAGTGTTCGAGATATGCATCTCTTTTCTAATGTATTTCGGTTGCATTAAAAAAAAAAAAAGAGATTTCATGTAATTTGGTATAATCCGACTTTACGCAGTAAAATTCATGAGAACTATTAGTTGAAATAATGTAACCAATTTTTTTACTTATCCCTTGCTGGTGCTCTCTAGGTAAGAAAGCAACCCTAGCCTTCCACACCCGCCGGTCCTAACCTTTGATTTTAGGGTCAGTGGCATCCTTCTGATTTCTCTGCTTTCTTTTTCTCTTCCTCCTTATTTCTTTTATCTATGCCTCCTTCTGAGCTTTGTCTCTACATTTGAGTCTCGTCTCAACCATCTGAGCTTTGGTCTCAACTTTCTCCCTTCTCCTCACTCAATTGCCCACTCAACGGCAGTCCCATTTCCTCGCCCCATCGCACCTTGCTTTCCTACCTCTTCTTTGCTCCCCCTTATCTTTTTCAACCCATAATCATGAATTAGATCTCGGAGTGTTGGGCCTTATCTTGACACTAGACAAAACACTTACAGTGCATTGCCGAACTAACTTGCCGAAAAAATTGGATGAAGTGTGGAACGATTCACATTGAAATAAGGGTGTTTTACACACCCCCTTTGCCCTCCCTCTCCTACTATTACGTTTTGTGACCTCCCTTGCAGGTGTGGTTGTGGATGCTGCGGTTCTTGGTGCATTGATTATGCGCAACATTCTTAAATCTAGTTTTTGGTTCGGGTGCTCTTTTCAGTTCGAAGTGACCTTTTCCTTCGTCGAGGAAGCGGCGGCTGGTGTTTTGGTGTTTGAGATTAGGATTTTTTTTGCTGTGTTTGGCCTTCCTTTATATATTTATAAGTTATATGCAGATTAGTTAATTCATAATTAGTGTAGGGTTATTATACAAAATGATCCCTGAGATTTGCATGATCAATAGAAATAGTCCCAGAGATTGAAAATCAATAGAAATGGTCCCTGAAATTGTCCACCATCCATGATTTTGATCCTCTCGTTAAAAATGATTTTAGGCAATTTTCAAAGCTTTGTAACTCAATCGTTTCTTAACCAAATTCGACCCATAATATATCAAAATGAAGATAGGAAAGTGTAGAATAAGATTATAACTATTTTGAAGCCCAATAGTTGCCGGAGATGGCAGGAAAATATGAAAGGTGACTGGTCCGTGGGAAAACTGGAAAACTCGCCGGAAACTGGGTAAACTTTAAACATTCATAACTTCATCAATACTCAACCAAATTGAGTGATTCAAAAACAAAATAATACTTCTTAATGATACGAAGAGAATGATACCTTTTTCCAAGGCTAACTTGCCATGGTTTGGTTGGACAACGGCTCGAAAGTGGCTAACCATTTTCGAGTTAGCCACTTTCGAGCAATTTTCCAGCAAAATCACGGCGAATTAGCAGTAAAGAAAGATACCATTCTCTTTGTCGTCGAGAAGTATGATTTTTTTTTTTAAATCACTCAATTTCGTTGAGTATTGAAGAAGTTATGAGCATTTAAAGTTTACTCAGTTTCTGGCGAGTTTTCCAGTTTTCTCGCGGACCAGTCACCTTTCAGGCTATTTCCGGCCATCTCCGGCAATCATCGGGCTTCCAAATAGATATAATCTTGTTCTATACTTTCTTATCTTTATTTTGATATACTATGTGTCGAATTTGGTTAAAAATCGATTGAGTTACGAAGTTTTGAAAATTGCCAAAAGAGTTTTTAACGGGAGGACCAAAATCATGGATGGTAGACAATCTCAGAGACCATTTCTATTAATTTTCAATTTTAAGAATCATTTCTATTGATCATGCAAATCTCAGTACTATTTTATATAATAACCCATTAGTGTATGATTGTAAGTGTCCCTTTCTTCACCGAGTTTTTGAAAAGGTGTCCTCTCCTTTACCCAAGAGTTTTATTGTACGACTAAAAGGTATATAAATCACGTGCGTGTCACGTGAGTGAAAACAAACAAACTGGAAATGGTCAGTCGAGTCATCGAGCGAGCGAAGTGCGTCTTGTTTGGCGCCACCTGATTCGTTAATTCGGTTAATGGCACATCTAATGCACCCCCACTTGTCCCATTTTTTAAATTTCACGCCAAAGTAAATTACAATTTACCCACTCAAGTTTTATTTAATTTCTCTTTTGCCCCTTTGGCTCTCCCAAAGCCTTCAAGGTAACCACTCCTCTCTCGCTCTTTCAAACGTTGCATGCTCTTCCTCGGCTCCATCATCAACTTGCCCAAACCTTAATCCCCAAATGGCCTCCTCGCCGGACCACCATCTCAACGGAGACCCCAAAACCCACATCTCTAAAAAACCCAAACTTTCCCCCAATTTCATCACCGCGGCCGAAATCGCCGCTGAATTTTCCCACCATGACCCGAACGTCGCCCGGATCAACAACGGCAGTTTCGGCTCCTGCCCCGCCTCCGTCATCGAAGCCCAGCAGCGGTGGCAGCTCAAATACCTCGCCCAGCCCGACCATTTCTACTTCAACGAGCTCAAGAAGGGCATCCACCAATCCAGAACCATAATCAAGGAGCTCATCAATGCAGACCACGTCGACGAGGTCTCAATCGTCGACAATGCCACCACCGCCGCCGCCATCGTGCTTCAGCAGACGGCCTGGGGGTTTTCTGAGAGCAAATTCGACAAAGGGGATGCTGTGGTGATGCTTCATTACGCTTATGGCGCCGTGAAGAAGTCGATTGAGGCGTACGTGACGCGTGCCGGCGGGTATGTGATTGAAGTCCCTTTGCCTTTTCCTTTGAAATCAAATGATGAAATTATCGCTGAATTTAAGAAAGCTTTGGAGAGAGGGAAGGCTAATGGTAGGAGGGTTAGGCTAGCTGTGATTGATCATATTACTTCAATGCCATGTGTGGTTATACCTGTTGAAGAACTAGTTAAGATTTGTAGGGAAGAGGATGTTGACCAGATTTTCGTAGATGCTGCTCATAGTATCGGGTGTACTGATGTCGATATGAAGCGAATTGGGGCGGATTATTATACTAGTAATTTGCATAAGTGGTACTTTTGCCCGCCGTCTATTGCGTTTTTGCACTGTAGGAAGTCCCCCAAGTGTCCAGAGTTGCACCATCCTGTTGTTTCTCATGAGTATGGTAATGGGTTGGCTATAGAAAGCGCTTGGATTGGGACTCGGGATTATAGCCCTCAGTTGGTAGTGCCTTCGGTTTTGGAATTCATCAATAGGTTTGAAGGCGGTATTGAGGGCATCAAGAAGAGGAATCATGAGACCGTTGTTGAGATGGGGCAGATGTTGGCCAAGGCATGGGGAACGCATCTCGGGTGCCCTCCGGAGATGTGCGCCAGCATGATCATGATTGGGTTACCTGCTTGTTTGGGGATCTTGAGTGAGAAGGATACTCACAAGTTAAGGACACATTTGAGGGAGAAGTTTGGTGTTGAAGTTCCCATATATTTCCGACCACCCAAGAATGGGGAGGTTGAGTCAATAAGTGGGTATTGTCGAATTTCTCATCAAGTGTACAACAAAGTTGACGACTATTACAAGTTCAGAGACGCAATTAATCAACTTGTTTCTGAGGGGTTCACTTGTGCTCAACTTTCTAGCTGATGAGGTATGCTCTGCTTTCATCCATTCTAATGGTTTTTAAGTTAGAAATGTATGGTAATCAGGATTTCTTGTCCTCCCATTTTGTGATTGAAATGCTCAGTTAAATCTTGTGATGAATCCAAGTGCTCTTACAACCATTTCCAGAAGTTTTATTATGGTTAGCTGGCGTTTCTTGATTCGGTGGTCGAGATATTTGTTTCAACTTGCCGTGGCCGTGGAAGTAGGTTACTCCGCCCACCTGCCCCCTTTAGAATGTGGTGATATAGGTAGAAAATGTTTACATCCATGGAAAAACTCAATGTAGTATGAATCTTGTAGATTAACAGTTCTGTTGTGTATAAAATTCTTGCCCGATGTATATGCAGTTTATGATATGCAAGGAGGGGGCCTTATTTCTATTATTTGGTACGATGTTTTAATTATTGATAAATTGTTTTTTGACATGTAACTTTCTGCATATTGTAGTCCAATGAAGCACCGAAGAAGCTCTTTTGATGAATAACATCCATGGCTATATCTGCATCGCCTGCATGCCTCAGTAGAAGCAAATGGTTTCGGTACCATTAATCCCTAAACTAGTAGAAAAATAAACTGCTAAGTGCATGTGTCGAAGCAGAAACAAATTTCTTCATGGTTTTTGGTGTTTTTGGTTTCCTGGACATGTTAGCTGTCTGTTGAATGCTGTCGGAATTGTTGCTGTTGTAAATGTTTAATGACTGTATCGATATTTGCATGCTTAATTATCTCCTAAAATTTAAAACATAAAGCTTGAATCGAAATAAGACTCTTTAGAAACGGTTGAGCCTGACCATGACTTAGTTAGGGCATGCTGTATGTAGTGAAATTTTTGCAGCTTGAGAAAGAAGTCTTGGATGGAGGGTTTCCTCATGGACCACAATATGCTGTGGATCCGAAAAGTAACTTGTCTTAGAATGTTGAAATATTAGAAGGTAAGGCAAAGAAAGATTGGTCTCCAATGTCTCCACTTCTGTTATTCGGTTATGCTGATTTTGTTCCGATTTTGTGTTCGTTTTTGGTCCGATCATATTATTCGTATTCCTCTGGATTCCACTTCTTCGTATTCCCGTTCTCTTCAAGGGGTTTTGAGCTTGAAATTTTATTCTTATTCCCCCACATTTTGTTTTCTCCCTACACCAATTGGCGGCTGGCGCAGTTATGCCTATGTTTTCTCAATAGTTTGCACTCTGTTCTTACATTTGAAGTACGAATTCTTTGTAGAAACCTTTGTCGCAAAGCCGGGCGTAGTCAAGTTGGCTAGAGTTGTGTGCTCTCCTCTGCAAGTTTGAATTCTCTTCGATGTAGTTTAGAATAGTAGAGTTGTGTGGTCCTCGACCTATGACTCAAGTGGTTAAAAGTGTATACTTGTTCCGATATGGATTTGAAATATAGGATCATTATTAGGTACGATCAAGATGATTCTCAGGTGAGTCATTTTGCATATCATGTTTAGAAAAGAAAAAGTTGAGAGTGATGGGAGGTCAAAGTGGAATAAGAATAGGTGTAAGCTTGAAATATTATTGGCAATACCTAAAGCAAATGGAAACGTTGTATCTATCAAAACAAGCACCACAAATATCAGAAAACGTCGACCTTTGCATCCAAGGTTTTGTGTTTGAATCTATCCTCGTAGTTTAATGTAGATATTCTATCGTTTGTCAATAAAACAAAAATATCAGAAAATGTTGTATCTATCGGCATAATATCTACAAATGTACATTTATTCTTTGAATAAAATCTAACATGTTATGCCAATTTTCGGTCAACGGGGTTAGAACCGACTTGGCCTACGTCCGCAGTCGTTAGTTTCATTCGACTCTTTGAGTTTGTTCTTAATTTGGTGGACGTTTTGGCCTATTAAACCTCATGTCCAAATTATTCATATAGTGTGGACGTTTTGGCCTTGTAAACCTCATGTCCAAATTATTCATATAGTATGTTATTGTGGGTTAGATGTGTGAGTTTTATTTTTTTTATTTTTTTTTATTTTTAACAAACGATATTATCTACATTTTTTTTTAACAAACGATATTATCTACACTACGAGAGAGGGGATGGGCTTATCCTTACAATGAGTTAGCAATAATGTGGTTCAAATTCGCCTTTGGCGAGAATCGAACCTAAGACCTCTCACGTACAAGTGAAGATGAACACCATTACACCGTAGTACTAAGTGGCAGATGTGTTAGTTAGAACAACGTGTGCAACCTTCTATTTTGAAGTTTGAATCTTCTTCTTTGTAGATTAAAAGAAGTTTAGAACATCACCTTGTCAAAAGTCAATGTAATAATATGTTAGTTTCTATCTTTTTTAAACCTACCAAGGTCCAAAATTTCAAGCAAAACACACAAGTTTGGTACACATGCTAATAAAACAAGTGAGTTTGGTCGTTGGTCACTGTCAAGAGAGTCATGACAACCATTGAGACAGCATGAGCACAGCCGCAGGAATCTACACGTATCTAACTACGTTGAGAATAAGATGACCGAGTAGGAACTAGTTAAGTACTTCTGCTGATAAGCGTTTGTGTTGAAAGTGCTCTTGGTAAAAGCCTAAGTTCTGCTAAAAGTCTAGTGTTTTCTGAGTGCTTCAAGCTGAACTTCTTCTGAGAACATTAGGAAGTACTTTAACCACGTTCCAGTTTTTTTCCTCAACGTTGTGACTCGTCAGAAGTGCTTTTGATTATCAAAAAACGAGAAAAACCATTTTCCAAAGTAGTGTTCAACGAGCCCTGAAATTTAAAATCCCTTCGATGTCATACATAAAACAACTGATGATTTGGTTGTAGCTCGTCACACGTATAGTCAGTAGTCAAGACAAGCAATAAGACATCAAGCGTCCCAAGGATATTACAAATTATTAAGTAGGAAAATGACAGAGTGAGAGATCGTCGACCCAAAAAAAAAAGAAAAAGAAAAAAAAACACTTTCGATAGCAGTTTAAGGAGCCTTAATCTGTTTAGTTTCTTGCCTGAACATTTGCTAGCGTTTTTTTAGTGGTTAAGAGAGTTTACTCCTGGAGGTCATGGCGGAGAAGATTATCATGTTTTTCCGTTACTATGTTCCTCGATTCCTCTGCCCCAATCTTTCCTTCCGAATTTCGAGACCCTCTAATCGCCATTACCATAACCTTAATCATAATGACACCCAAACCCAAGTCTCCGTTAAGCAGAAACCCTCTTCCTTCATCACAGACACCGAAATCCAATCTGAATTCTCCCACCACGCTCCGGGCATTGCCAGGATCAACAATGGCAGCTTTGGTTGCTGCCCTGCCTCCGTCATCTCTTCCTTGCACCAATGGCAGCTCAAATTGCTCCGCCAGCCCGACGACTTCTACTTGAACGAGCTTCCAAATGGGATACTTGAATCGAGAACAGTAATCAAAGACCTCATCAATGCAGATGATGTGGAGGAAGTCTCCATTGTGGATAATGTCAGCACTGCTGTTGCTATAGTCCTGAAGCAGACGGCATGGTCTTTCGTGGAAGGGAAATTCGACAAAGGAGATGCTGTCATAATGTTTCGCTGCACTTATGGGGCGGTGAAGAACTCAATCAAGGCCTATTTTTTGCGCGCTGGTGGGTATGCGATCGAAGTTCCATTTAATTTTCCGGTGACTTCAAACGAGGAAATCGTGAGTGAATTCAAGACAGCTTTGAGGAGAGAAAAGGGTATTGGGAGGAGAGTGAGACTGGCGGTGATTGATCACGTTACCTGCATGCCAAGCTTTGTGATGCCGGTTAAGGAATTGGTTAAAATTTGCAAGGAAGAAGGTGTTGAGCAAGTTTTAGTTGATGCAGCTCATGCTGTTGGGTGTGTAGATGTGGACATGAACGAAATCAGAGCGGATTTTTACACAGGTAATTTGTACAAGTGGTTTTTCTGCCCGCCTGCGGTTGCATTCTTGTACTGCAGGAAATCAGTTATGACACATTTAGATTTGCATCATCCTGTTGTGTCTCATGACTATGGAAACGGATTGGTCAAAGAAACCGGTTGGGTTGGGACGAGGGATTATAGTCCCTATCTCGTTCTTCCTTCAGTTATGGAGTTTGTCAACAGATTCGAAGGTGGTGCAGAGGGAATCAGGAACCGGAATCATGATGCTGTTGTTGAGATGGGGAAGATGCTTGCAGAAGCTTGGGGAACCAATCTAGGGTGTCCGCCGGAAATGTGTTCGAGCATGGTGATGGTTGGATTGCCGGCCTGTTTGGGGGTTCTGAGTGATGAAGATGCTATGAAGTTGTGGGAACTTCTGTGCAAGAAATTTAGTGTGGAAGTGAAAATACATTATCAAAACCCGAAAGATGGAGAGCTTGCACCTATAACTGGGTACGTTCGAATCTGCCACCAAATTTACAACAAATTTGAGGACTATTGCAGGCTCAGAGACGCAATCAACCAACTCGTTCGCGATGGCTTCAATTGCGGTAATCTTGAGGTATGTATGTTCTTGCCTTCATCCACTTTCTTGGTTTGCAGGCTACCGTTTATTTTTGGCTTCTTTCCTAGAACTCGATTTTGATTTCACTTTGTTTTCTGTAAGTCAAAAATCATTACTTCCCAACTTGAAACTCAAAATTTGTTCAACTTTAACTTGTAGTCTCCTCTCTATCTTTTCATTGAAACTCAAAAACTGCCTCCTAAAATATATGTGGGACCCACTAGCTAATAAGACTGTCTACATGTGTCAATGAATTTAATTATAAATCTTCATTACGTGTTAACATTCAACTTTCAATAATTAGAAAATATTAAGTTTAAAAGAAGATATTAAGCATTGGAAATTTTTTTGGGTTTATGTGCTTGAGTTGCAGAGGTGGAAAAAAATAAAAAAGAAATTGATTAGCATGGTGCACCTAAATCAAATCCACATAACGGAATTAATAGAATCAAGCCAATGTGGAGGGAGTTTTCATTTTTATAGAGTAAAATGATGACTTTTATTCAGTTTCAGGGGGAAAAATGGGATCCAAATCGTGTTCAAGGGGGGCAAAATGGAACGAATTTTGAGTTTCAAATAGTAGAGTGAAGACTTTTGAGTTACATGAGACAAAGTGAGATTAAAATCGAGTTCCGGAAGGGTAGTGTATATTGAATTTTTATAGATTTTGATCCAAGTAGTGAAAACCCTGTGCAATTATTTATTAATCTTAGTTTTGTTTACTTGCCACTAACATGGGATTTTATGTTAATCTGCAGATCATGAGGCCTAAAGAAGTCGGTCCGACGAATGACAGGTGATATGATTCCATGTCTCCTGCACACTTACCTTGTTGCAATGGATGGTTATGGTTCATTGAACAAGGTTTGTGGACACATGAAGGTTCCAGATTGTGCCGTTTCGTTGTAACCACCGCTTCGTCAAGTGTTGTTATCAATCCATGTTATAACACACATTTCTATCAACTATAATGTCCATTAATATTAACATTAGAGTTATAACACTGTGTAACGATGTGACTATTATTTGCTTGTGCATGAAGACATTAGTAATTTGACAAGGTTAGGTTGTGTGTCCGTTGATACTTGATAGCATAAATGGCACATGACTTATCTTCAATGGGGATCCTAAATAGAGTTGCTATAATCCTACAAAAGGCTTCCAATGGATTGGAATAGAAATCCCCAAAGTATCTTAATGTATAGGGATTCGCCGGATAACATTGTTTTAGGAACATTGCTATATTTGGGTGTTTGAGCTTTC